TGTCAGGGCAGGCAAAACACAAGGACCCCTAAGACAAGTCCTGTGCTCCAAATCTCACACTTTTCTGTCTTTTCAGTGCCGTTACAAAATACACACGATTATCTCACATATCTGCCACAGGTCCTGGTAGTTTGGGCAGACTGCATCTGAAATAGTATGTTGTGGGACATACACAATCTTTTTCTGGTGTACCACACTGGTGTAGTTTGGTAGAAAGGCTACCAGTGCACACCTCAGGACTACATGGATCTGGTTCTGACTCTGAGGAAGTGATCCGTGGCCTGAACTAGAGCAGAAATGAGTCAAAGCGACGGGAGCAGGTGGGCGGCTCACATCCATCCTCTCCCCACTGACTGCACGTTCACCTAAAGCCTCTCCCACATGAAGTGCTTTCCAAACCAGCTCGCCTGAAGTGGGAGTGGGTATGAAACTCTCCAACACCGAGTCCACTTCAGAGCTGCCTGACCGACACTCCTGGCAAGAGCAGCGCCTGTGAAGAGTCCGAAGTGGAGGAGACTCCAGACGCTGATGACGTGAGGTGTTGTTTCACCAGGACGGCCTCACACAAGATCAAACAGATGAAATGGCTTCTGTGAAGATGTAAGAACATCATGGTGCACATTTGAAGGCAGTGTCTGCAGAGTCATGTCTGGTTGTAGTCCATGCAAATAACTACAAATCCCAGTCTGTGTGAGAAGAGGCAGAAAAGTGTCCCTGTACTGACCAGTAGACGACAGGGTGACGCCATGCTGCCCTCCCCACACGCTGCGCTTAGTTTGACAGATAGCTGTTGCTGTTATTTCTGCTGGTAACTGTGACTTCTCCTCCCAAACCAAATGTTCTGCCACGAAGCCTCCTGTGACCCGGCCTGAACCTGCAGTCGCTGTGTGAGCAGACGTAAACAGCCTGAAGCGGGTAATGAGTGCTCAGTCTGTCTTTAGCACATAAAACACCTCCACTTTAATGAGCATCATTCTCACCGCTGCTCCTTACAGTCACCAGAACACGTAATCACTGAGCCGCCGCCTCCTCGTCACCGTCTCCAGCTTCCTGTTTAGTTTCCACACTGGGTTTGTTGTGACTGACAGAGGTTCAGCCTTTGTGTCTGAGTCCACCGGGCCTCACAGTCTTCATTCGATTTGGATTTAATTAAAACCTAAACATACACCCGTCTAATCCTGGCACCTACACCGAAAACATTTAAAGCTCTGAGGAGTAAACGGGTCCATCCGTGAACATCATTATGCACAAAGTAAGATGTTCAGACAGCTGTGGATGCTGATCTCAGCCCAACGTGGCACCAAACAGGCCACCTGCCTCCAGGGCTCCTCCCAACCGGACCAGAACAGAACTTCTCCTCTCTCTTGTTTACTAGTGGGATGTTTCAGTCTGTGTTAAGTTCCCTGAAACATTTGACATATTTTACAGTAAAATGTTCAAACTGTCGTCAGAGGCTCGTTTCTCTACCGTCGTCTTCGCTGCTAATGCTGCTATTCGTTAGCAGCTAAGATGCTAACCGTTAGCAGCGAAGGTGATGCTAACGCTAACACCCCCCCCCCAGGGGTTCTGGTCAGAACCTGCACATCCAACAGGAGTAAATATATGTTCTACTCACCAAACCTGTGGTTACTGAACCACCTCCATCCTCCTTTCTCCATCAGAACCGGTCCAGTCCCTCTGCTGAGCAGCTAATCCACTCATCAGTCCGGTTCTGTCTCCTGGAGGTTGATGCTGACAGTCGGTCCGTCCAGTCCTGGTTCTGACATCAGGTTTAATCCGCTGTCGGGCTGAGAACGTCCGCTCGCTTAACTTCAAACAAAACCTAGTACTTGTATATAAAGTTCTATCTGGTGCAGGTCGCTACAGACAGGAACCGCTAGCTTTGGCTGAGCTCTCTGACCAGCCAATCAGAGGACGTGGAAGTGCTGACGTCATCCTAGGCCAGCGAGCTGGCCCTGGGTTTAAGCTACAGACGGCTGTTCTTTGATCCTGAAGGCCTCGGGGCAGATTTCTGTGACCCCGGCAACACATGACGGCTGAAATCTGATTGGATTTAAAAAACAAATAAATAAATAAATAAATAAAGAAGCTCTAATATAAACATACAATACCTGTCAACAGGTGCAGAAGTCTGACTGAGAGCTGCAGCTGATGGCAGTGATTGGCTCAGAGGGTTGATCACAGGACCCATCAGGCTGGTTTGTTGTTTTTATTGTTGTTGTTTTTTAATGTATTTCTGTTGAAGCACAACTCAAAGCAACGTCATGATGTTCGTGACATTTTTATGTTTTATTACTTTTGTCAATTTCAACTTATTTCAGTGGCAGCTGTTGTTTTCTCTTCTTTAATAGGAGGGTATGAATACATCTGAGCACGGCTGTATGTTTATCATATATAATATCAGTTCTTTGTCCATTTAATGACTAATTAACCGTATTAGTTGCTGCCCAGTTAACAGATGCAGTAAATCTACGTTCAATCACAGCAGTGGAACGAGTTCATGATGATGAGCTCCTCCCGTATAATGATGTCGTCGTTGCTCTCCACGTGTGACCCGTGATGTTCTCGCTGTGCAGCTCTGAGCTGAAGCAGTAGAGGCTGGATTTACACCTGACTTGTTTCTTCATTGATCGCTGGCTTCAGGCTGTGAGCGAGAGAGAAGCTAACTCCCAGGATGCATCCGTATCTCTGTGGATTAAACATTCATGCCCTTCTCATCAAACACACTTTGATTTCACACATGCTTTTTAAAAAAGTAAAGTTTGGAGCTGTGAGCGTAGCCTTGATAACTCATAACAGAGCAGGTCTGTTCAGGCCGACACGTGTGTTAGAAGTGATGGAGATGCTGAATGTTGTTTATTTGCTTCAGAAACTTTCACAAAGTCTCTGATTAAAAATTGAAATCTCATCTTGGGGCTTTTGAGGCAGTGCTTCACATTTCCTGTTTGGATTCCAGATGTGAAGGCAGAGCTGAGCTCATGTCACCATCGAACAGTTTCTCCCTGCAGGATGTGATGAAACAAACTGCAAAAACACATAGTTGGTTGTGGTATTGGGTTTTAATATTTCATGAAATCTGCACCCTGTTGACTTTCTTTCTGTTCTCTTCTTAAACTCCCGTCGCTCCACAGAGTCCACCGGTGCAGACGCAAAGACAAGAACAACAAAGTAAGAACAGTTTGGTAAAAGGAATCCACTGATCTGACCGAAAACGCAGTGAAGGTGGCAACAGTCCTGGAGGTCATCATGACAGGAACCACCTCAGCAGATCCTCCAGCCGGCCGAGGCCTCACATGGAAACTCCTGCAACACATGCTGCTGCCGGGTTAGTTATAAAACATGAACACAAAGGGATGGTTTAACATGGCCTGATGGGACTTTTTCAGAGGATGAGAAAAATGATGTCAGTCTTACATCAATGTGTTAAATAAAATGCTGGAGACGTGACCTGGTTAGCTTAGCTTAGCTTAAAGACTGGATATAGCAAACAACCAGCTCACTCTCTGAACATCCATTACAGAAAGTGTTTTTAATCTCTGTTTCCAAAATTAAAACACACAGGAGTGAAAGTACAAGACAGGTACTAAACATTGCCAATCAGTTCTGAATTAAACAATTAATATTAGCATGCCTGGCTAACTAATTAGCCTAGCATTAGCATTAACACGTTTAACGTAACATCCAGCTCTGAATGGTGTGTGTGTGTGTCTATATATATATATATATATATATATATGTGTGTGTGTGTGTGTGTGTACGTGTATATATACCTAAATTTGCACGAGCAAACACTTAGCTTCACCTGGTCCATTAGAGCTCCTCCTGAACCCACCGTGGTCCACAGCATACACACTTTAAAGTCCACACAATCAATGAAACGGCCAAAAGCTTTTTTTTTCTGGGATTTGAGGTTTTGTTGATGCAGACGTGCTGAAGCGCTGCACTCCTTCTTGCCTTGTGCAGAGGTATTCTGTAAAACAATATGTGTGGAGAGAAATCTTTTCTGAACATGATATCCATATTACACCTGACTGGTATCATCTGAGGACCTTGTGTCAGTGTTTCATGAAACGTCTCATGGACTGACAGTCGCTCACATTATTTGCAGATATGATACCACAGACTGCCGTGTAATAACTGCTGAGCCTGCTGACAGACTGCAGAACACCATCCATCCAGTCATTCTGTGAGGTTCTGCCCGTCTGATGGAGCTGACCGCTCTGTGAACGGGTCTCCACGCTGTACAGCAACATCAGCACTCAAAGGCTCCAAACTTTCATTTAGAAGCGCCAACGCAGCCTCCATAGTTCTGGAGCAGCAAAGAGGCAGAAATAGAGCGGAGAAAACAAAAAGCCTTGAAAAAAAACAAGATCCATCCATCATCTCTACACCTTCATCCTCACCAGGGTCATGGGGGGCTGGAGTCTATCCCAGCTGACTCAGGGTGAAGGCAGGTTCACCTGGACAGGTAACCAGTCTATCACAGGGCTACACTTAGAGACAGACAACCAAGCACACTCACATTCACACCTACGGACAATTTACAATCACCAATTAACCTCAGCATGTTTCTGGACTGTGGGAGGAAGCCGGAGAACCCGGAGAGAACCCACGCTGCACGGGGAGAACATGGAGACTCCACGCAGGAAGATCCCGGGTGTCCTCACCGGGACGCCAACCAGCGACCGTCTAGCTGTGAGGCGCTAACGGTGCTAACCACTGATCCACCTGCAGATCCAACCAAAAACAATAACAACCAAGTGAAATAGCTGAACCCAAACCACTGAGATGCTGGTTCCAACAGGGGCACCTGTGTCGCCATGGCCGGAGTCGTCTGTTGTGGAAGCTTTTTTTTTACAAATTAGGAAGACAACAGGTTGAGATTCCAGATGACCTGTGATCACTGTAACCAGGTCATACTGGTCCTATATGACCACTGATGTGTACGAGGCTGTAGTCTGAGGAACATGAGAGACAAATGATGAGGAGCAGGAAACGTCTGTAAAGCAGCGAGGTGTGAACTCTTTAATTTTTTGTGTTTTCTGATATAAGATGAAATAAACACTGATGACACACAATCTTGAAAAGTAAACCAAATCCATGTCGGCTCCAGAGGACACAAACACAACAGTAACCGTATTAATATTAATAATAATAATAATAATAATAGATGGAGGAGCCTTTGGTTCCCTGCTACAGAGCTGCCTAGCACAGTAATACTGTTAGAGACGGGACACGTCGCGCTGCACAGGCACAGACAAACACACACTGTGGTACATTCTGGAGTAAACACACTTCATAATTGTCATCATGCAATAAAGAATAACAGCTATTTGTTTAAAAAACACATGGCACATAGGTGATCATTATTTCAATCCATTATCAGGTACATATCAAATATAGAGACATTTTTTAACAAATATAAAGTTATTGCATTTTCATTATTACTTCATATAAGACACTATATGCAAGGCATACTGTGGAAGCTCCTCCACCCAGAGTGGATGTCGGCAGCAGCTAGCTGATTGTCCTTGTTATTAAATGGCTTCTAGTTCTTATGTACAGAAAGGAAACGTCCCTTTTAATGCTTGTCAGAGCTACTGGCCTCACAGGGAGCGCCGTCCAGGCTGTTCTGCTGCTGGAAGCTAACGCACCGTCCACCTGCTGCTGGAACATCCGGGTGGCCCGGTACCAGAGGCGGTGCTCATAAAGGACTCTGCTAGACTCACAGCACAGGAACGAACTGGGTCATGTCACTGTGACGTCGGTTCTGGAAATTCTGAACCCGTGGAAGCACAAAGGCAGCATAAAGGGAAACAGAAACCCAGTGGGCTGAAGGGACTGCTACTAGTCCGGTTAGGGCTACCAGTCTGGTTAGGTTTAGGGTTACCAGTCTGGTTAGGGGTATCAGTCTGGTTAGGTTTAGGGTTACCAGTCTGGGGCGTCACACTGTGTCTGTTTGATAAACTGGGCTCATCTGCTGAAAGCTGGGCCACACGGCACCAGTCAGAGTTCTGGTCCCCATTAGCAGTTGCGTTACCGTGACGAGGCCCAAAACACTGGCACAAGAATGGAGGGAACCGTGCTCGGATTAGGGTTCATCCTAGCAGGTCGCTGCAGAGCCTCAGTTCCCTGATGAGGTGTAGAGAAGAACCACCATCAGGCTGCTGGTCCGTCAGCTGACTGGACCAACATGAGCCTGAGGGGAATCAAAACACTGACATTTAAACAGCTCTGTGTTTGAACGGGTCCTTGTGGCACCTGAGGAGCTCCCCTGTCATAGCAGTTCTGATCCGACTTTATCAGCGTGAAGGCTCCAGGACTCACAGTGTGACACATGTTGTGGTTCCTGAAGCGCCCTGAATGGACTTAAACACAACACTGACTCCTGATGAGCACCGCCTGGTACCGAGTGTCGTCCAGCTTGTTACCAGCAGGTAAACAGTCTGACCGCTGACCCGCTTCACTACACAGCAGAACAGAACCTGGGCTCCCCTAGATGTGATCTCTGAGTTGGACTTTTGATCTGGCCAGATTTGGGGCACTTTGATTAGTCAGCTGATTAGTTTGATCGGCGCTGGCTCAGTCCAGAGGCGCTAACACTGCTGAGGTTCCACCACTAGGTCCATACGCCTCTCACGTGTACAGCCGCCGTGCACGTGCACCAGAGGCCTGAAAAGTGTCACTTAAATGCTGGTCAGACTCTATCTGATGTACAGGTGTGTGTGTGTGTGTGTGTGGCCGAGGGAGTTTCAGGTAATCTGTCTGACAGATGTGCTGCCAGACAGAAGATGTTTTGTCCTTGTAGGACACACACACACACGCATAAACACACACACACACACGCTCATGATCGGCCACAACGTTAAAACCAGCTGACGAGGAGCTCTGAGGCGTCCTCGGTGTCGGACACCAGGACCTGGGCCCTGGATGGTTCGGCTTGTGTTTTGTTCCTCCCTCAGGGCTGGTGTCCCTCCATCTGGTCCTGAGCACTGTTTTGGTGGAATGTGTCAGAGCAACCTCCACGTAGATGTGAAGGCCGAAGCTCTACGAGCAGAGCAACGGTCAGTGGTTGTAATGTTGTGGCCGATGGGTTCAGATCCACACGGAGCCTCGGTACAGAACAGAATGAGTCATGAACATTACATTCCCACTTAGCAGCTTTCAGAGGAGAGCCTGCTGCTGGGACTAATGGATAAACACTGCTGGTATGAAGCCAAATGCTTCTTAAAGGTCACACGTACACACACACACTCACTCTTGAGCACACTTGACTGGAGGGAAGCCCAGCCAGGAGCTCATCACTGAATAATACTGTTCATACAAAAGCTTTCCATAATAATAGCTTTTCCACCGCCGTGATTGTTTGAAACGCAGGTCAGTCAATAGGAATGATTGTCGTCACCGCCGCCTCTTCCTGCTCCGCGGCCGCCCCGACACACTCACCTCCCGACACCTCGTCCTCCCGTGGAGGGTCTGGGCTGCTTTGGAACACTCAGAGTTAGTGAGGGGGAGGCTGGCCTGGATAATGAGCATTTAGAGGGGCTGGAGGCCAGGGGCCGCCGTAACCAGGAGGCCCAGGAGGAAGCAGAGGACGAGGGGCAGAGGGGAAGGCGGCGAGCCCCCAGAGGAGTGGATGGAGGAGGTCTTGATCTCAGAGGTAAGGAAGGCGGAGAGGGGGACGTGGGAGACCAGAGTGGGGCTGGAATAGTTGATGAGGGAATCAATCTTCTCAGCCTCCTTACTGCAGGCTTCAATCTGGAAAACACAAGAAGAGCAGCATGAGTCCAGCCTCCTGTCACTCAGGCAGCACAGGAGCTGCTTCTGCTGCGTCAGTATCGTCTCAATACAACCTGAATGTCCAGAAAAAGAACGTCATCAGCCTCTGATGATGCTGATCATAAACCTGTTGACCTGACTTCACCTCACGTGACTCGTATGACGGCTGAACAACTGAGTCTGCTTGAAACAGAAGACGGTGCGCGTGAGGCAGTAGGGCTGCATGATGCATGGCTTCAGCGCCAGTATGAGGCCTGCATGTGCAACAGTCACATGACAGGAAGTGTGATGTGCAGCGTCAGGATACAACTTGCTTGATGCTTAGTCGGACAGAAAACTCTCTCAGCTGTCGTCGTCACCATTTAACTCTGACTGAAGGTTCTTTTTTTCCTCTATTGACAGACACAGAAACACTGAAAAGGAACATCTGGTTACAGAAGAAACACAAAGTGCGCCGTAGTGCTGCACAGCTAACGGGATATTCATCACGGCGAGGAGCTCGGCCTCCCACGAACAACTAAACACGACCAACTGGGATATTATAATAAGAATAAATGTATAACTGTGACAAATAACCACAACCTCAGTGTTTAGCGATATAATTATTATTTAAACCACTCTGACCACGATCCTGCAGCCCTCCACAGCTGTGTGGACAGATTTCACCTCCAGAAGGGACGATGTCAACTGACGACAGGTGAAGTGACGACAGGTGAACTGAACTGTTTCCACCACACGACTCGTTTGTTTGACTGTTTTCATCCACAGCACAAAGTGGTCGATGGTCTGTTCCCAACGGTTCAAACAAAGTCTTCACAGTGAACAGTCATGACTTCTTTTCTCTTTTAGTCCCACGGTGCTGATAGGAGACTGTCTGAGGAATGAAGCCCTTCAACACGTTCCACGTATAGCCGTACAGACGGTTAATGAGCAGCTGTATAATCCTGAAGGCCGCCTCTTTCTCTGAGTGAACGCTGACTGTGGGGCTGTGCTGCAGGCGGCGCCGGGCCTTCACCCTAACCTTGGTGAGTCCAGCGCTCTGGATGGAGTCCTTGCTGATGCTGTGAGTGGCTGTTGGTCCACACTGGAGTGGAACGTGAGCAGCAGTGGCCACACAGAACACACAGTTCAGACTGTGGTGAATCCTGTGAAACACTGTGTGCTGCATGCTGCTGCATGTAAAGCGTTGAGCGCACGGCGAGTAGCGCTCTGACCTGATTGGAAATGCACAAAGTTTGTTTTGGCACAGCCTTCCTCAACCTGGGGATGAGTATGACTTCTAAAACAGGAGGATGAGGCTGTTGCCTAGTAACAGTTAAAACTAAAAGCTCCTCTTTAGCACCAGGACGCTTCTCTGCTGCGGCTCCTTCATTCTGATCATTTCTTCTGTCTAAACCCATCCTGAGATTCTTTCTGCCTGAACAAAGTCTGTTTGTTTCCCCAAAGTCTAAAATATTAGTCTTATGAGTTTCATGACTGACTGTTTCCATTGAGTGCTTTTTATCCTTTAAACGTATTGTGGTCATAATACAACAGCTCCAGTGCAGACCTGTGCATTATTCACGTCTAAATCCTTCAGGCTGCTCTTCACAGTCTGATCATTTCCAGCTTCGGCTGCTGGAATGCAAATAGACTCGGTTTAATTATCAAAGCATAAATGATTCACTGAAGAACTGTGAGTCCTCCAGCTCTGCTTCATTATTGTGTCTGAAACAATGGACTAAAGAGCTGCTGCTAAAAAGTAAAGGTGAGTTCACATGAGGAGAGTCCATCCAGGAGAACAGGTGATGTAAACAGTGTTTGTATTCAGGCAGCAGACCCACCGTGAGGAGGAAACCTGTGGAGACATAACGCAGTGACCCTAACCCTACAACTCTCCATCCACATGCTGAGAACAGTTTTCAGCTGCGTTACCGTGCTGATGGAGGTAATGTCGCTGCAAACATGGGCATGAACCATGGAAGGCTCTGCTCACACAACACGGCACACATGAATCAGGCCTTCCACCAGCCCGCTGCCGCCTCGTTGTGCTGCTGGACGGCTGCATTACTGAGGCAGCTTCAGTGTTTGATCCAAATCAACCTGCTGGCACCACAATGCCTTCACTGAAACATATGAAGAGCTTCTTTCCTTTTCCAGTCACAGTGCTAATGCCGGCCTGATGCCCTCAGCAGGTACAGATGCTAAACAGGTGTCTGTCCTGAGATCACGAAGGCAGCAGAGTGCACGAGTACAATATGTAGATCCAACCTACTGCTCATGTGCAGACCAGCAGCTAACCAGCTATGCTGCTCATCACAGCTCCAACAGATCTGGTTCCACTTCACACCGCTGAAGGCCGAAGCTTCCCAACAGTAGCAACATATACTGAAGCCCTACGAAGCCCCGGGGGGAATGATCACATCCAGACTGGACCATGAGCACAGAGAAGACCACATCTGCACACTGGAGGAGGAACAGGTCTGGGCAGTGAACCACAGACCTGGGACTCCCACCACTTGTCGTTGTGTTTATTTAGGTGAGGCCGCGGTGCTAACCACCGAGCCACCTGCAGCCCAACTATGAACGGGTGCCAGTTCATCTAAATCTGTGAGAAATGAACTGTGAGTTTGCACAATACTGAGACACAGGAGGGTTCCTGTGCTCCAGACAAAGGACACTGGATTGTTCCAAATGAAACATATTATGGGGACTACAGGATCTGAATGGAGAGTTTGGAAAGCTCATTGGTAGCTCATGGTGGTCCATTTATTGTAACTGAGCACTAACAGTGTCCGGTTTAGTCTGCAGAGATGGGAGGCTCCTGTCATGTGTCCACGTGTCACCGAGGAAACACATTCATGGTGATCAGGGAGAAAATCAGCTGTCACGGTTGATGAGCTCAGACCAGACCTACTCCGGCCACCAGCGCCGGAGCCCTCCTCGGTCCTGGAGAGCAGCCGGCGCTCACGGGTCCGTCCAGCGCTCCACACAGTGTATAAACAGATGGAGAATATGCAGACCACTTCTCCACTTTGTTTTTCAAAGATATGGTTCCTTTGAGGTCACAGTGTTTCTGTGTTGTTCAGAGGAGGAAGACCTTGAGCTAAAAAAAGACGCCGAGGCGAACACGAGCCGACACATCTGTGCCGTCATACCTGCTGTTGCTGGAAGGATTCTCTGGCTGGACTGAAGCACACTTTGCTCTGAAAAGACCTGAACGCAGACAGCCTTCTGGGAAATATTTCTTCTGTAAGAATGCAGTGGGAAGTGCGTATTGTGCTGCTGTCTGAGGAGATGTGGTGGAAGCTGTGAGCTGGGAGGCCGTTCTGTGAAGTGAAGCTGATCTGCAGCTGGTTGAGAACTCAGATCAAACCAGAGTTTACTCGTTTAGATGTCTCAGAAGCACGACTAAGAAGTAGTGTGCAGAAGTTTTCTCTTCTTTAAACATATAAACTCTAAAAGGTCTGCGGTTCCATTTATGTTTGAGCTCACCTCTCTAACCGTCTCCTTCTGCGTCTTCACTTCTTTGCTGTTCAGCCTCTGACCCGTCCTTCAGTACCACCGTATCACCGTGTCTACAGCAGCTTGTATGAAACGTGCTCGCTGCTTCTGGCCATGAACTGATTGTGGTCTAAGATTAGATCTGATCCAGCGGCTCAACACCAGCCTGAAGACATCTCAGCTCCAAATTGAAAGCAGCTGTACTTTGGTGTTTTTAACCCACTTACTGGGTGACACACATAAACCTTTTCCAATTAGAAGAACCTGACGTGATCCCCTCGTGACTTGAGGGTACAACATGGAATAAAAGAACTTCTGCTTCATTTACAATCACATGCAAAGTCCTCCTCATTCGTACATGCAGCTTGTGTGACGGTCTCCTGTCTGAATCAACACCTGTACCACCCGGACCATCACACCACGCTCTACTTTTCTACTGTGACTAGTTTCTGTAAAGTTTCAAAACAGTACAAAGCTTGATTGTTCAAAGCCACGTCTCAGGATGAATGTTCAAGCTGCAGCACAAGTTTGAGAATGAACAAAGAGATAAATCCGTGTGTTTCCTCCTCTGAGGAGCATCGTGTTCCTGCAGGTTTAAACTATTTCATGTTCAAAGAGACTAAGAGGCTACAAAACCAGGAAACACACTGAATGAGCCAGTTTAAGCTGAACCAGAGCTCCTGTCACGGTGGATGACAAGAACAACGACAAGAAGGAACCAAGTCCTTAAAGACCAGCCTCGCCACTCGGCAGCCATCTTGGTGACACGGCCTTATTTCAGGCTGTTATCTGAGTGACTGGCTGCAGCATCGGTGCTCACTGGCACATGAAGAATGGACAGAACCAGCAGTCGAATCAGATGTAAAACACTTCAAAGGTTTCAGAAGTTCTTGTAGCGCTCATGTGCACAGCGTCAGTGTTTCTGGCTCGTCCTGTCTCTGGCTAAAAGCCCTGCAGGCGGTGGGATGTGATGAATGACAGCTGCTGACAGACATGGCAGTAGACAGGGAGACCCAGAAACATGGGTAACAGCATCTAAAAAGGATCAAACTAATCCAAGGAATTCACAAACACCAGAACACAGGGAGCTGACAAAGGAACAGCAGCACCGGGGACAAATGACTACAGGGGGCGCCAGAGGAAGGCAGTGTATGAACGAAGCTACAGACAAAGCCCAGACTGACATGTGACGTCTTTCCCCCCACAAACCTGTTGCCTCCTTTATCAAACCGTGAGCAGAAATCTGTGCAGAGCATTGATGTTGTCACATGGCTCACAGCTGCAGCAGAAGCAGTGGAGATGCCTGCTGGAGCATGAAAGGCTCATTTAGATAAGAACACATCCTAATCATCCATGTGTGGTAGCGCCTGCTCAACGTGGAACAAGGAACAGAGGACGTACTGATTAATGAAGCAGCGCCACTAAAAACCCTGAACCCACCAGGCCAGTGTGTTTACTGGGAGGCCTGATGGAACCAGTGATCACCAGCTGCTGAAGGAGGTTCCTGAGGCTCTAACTCCGCTCCAGCAGCACTCCTCATGCGAGATGTTTAATGAGTGAAGCTCAGCGACTGTCTGCCTCAAAGAGCAGCCGGATCTCCTCCGTACTGTCCAGCACATCTGAGGAGAACTTTAGAAATGTCACGAAACATGAAAACTGTGGATTAGTTTCCACAAACAGCTTTGGAGCAGATGAACCAGGTTTCATAGCATCATCACAGGGCGCTGGTACAGACATGTTGGACAGGGTGGAGCTCATAGAGTGGAAGAAGCTGGAAAGATAAATGAAAAGAAGACAACAAAGATAAAGAAACAAACAGTTCTTCATCAGTGGAGACATGGAGGGAGCTGTCTGCAGCTGCTCAGGCTGTGTCCTGTAAAGCCAGCTGGTATCTAACATGCTGCTATCTGGAGACAAGCAGCTGATCAGTGAGTCCGTCCTAAAGCCTCCCACCAGACCGCCAGCTCATCACCGAGGGAAATGTTCACTCAGTCAGGACTCATGGAGGAAAGGGCATTAAAAACAAAAAACACCTCAAGCAAGCACACATTCAGTCTTCTGCTAAACTGGAGAAAGTTCTTAGTTTCTTCATGTCCCATCTCCTTTACCTTGCTTCATGCACAGACATGTGTCTTCTATACGGTTAAATCAGACGAGGCTCCTGTGCTGATACGAGTTCATTCAGCTCCTCAGTTTCTTTCCTTTGTTCTTGCTGAGACTATAGAGAGACATTTGGTGGCTGAGCAGGAGAGACGCCACGCTGAGGAAAACTCATTTCCCTTTAGTTAGGTGCAATATTTATTTATTTTATTAAAGATTTCAGTTCTGTCTGTGTGTAGCGTACACAGCGAACAATCATGACAATAAAATAATGCTAATGAAGTAGAAAAAGGTGAAGTGAGACATTGAAGGAGACAGATGCGTCCTCCCCCTCACTTCACTGCTGTAATCACTGCAACATGAATATTTATGTCTGCTGGGAGTGTGGTGGGTAATTAGCACAGCTAAACACTGCTGTGTTGGGAGCTGCTCACGCTTGTGTGTTTACAGTGTTTGTGTAGAAAGAAAGGGGAAAGAGCTGCTGCTGTCAGACGGAAAACTGGCCAATGTGGAAAATTAATTTCCTCTGTGACTCTAAAACAGTTCTGATTAATGAATATTTATGATGTGATGTATTTATCACATCACAAAGTGGCGCTGCAGGAATTTTAAGAGGTTATCGGCTCTCCCTCCACAAACATTTTAATATTGAAGGTATATTAACGGGATAAAGGTGACGCGAGCCGTCGCTCAGCTCTGAGCAGCAGCTCGTTGTTTTTATATCCGTCATGAAAAGCTCTTCATTGGTTTTAACTGTCTCCAAACCTTCATAAAAACGATTTTCTTGAGCCAAAATATGACACACTTGCTTCGACAGTATCATTTGTAAATAAAAACCAAAGGCAGGCCTCCTGGTCTGAGCTGTCTGTCCTGGAGCCTCCCACAGACCCTCCGGCCATATGGACCCGCTGCAGACAGTCCAGATAGCAGGTAGTGATTTAGCTGAGGCTTCACATGGTGCTCAAAGTGCACACTGCTGAGTCGGAGCCACCACATCCTACTGCCTCCACACACTCTGCTGCTCTTTAAGGCCAATTCATGCCTTCTGTGTCTGCAGCATGATGTACATGTCGTCCATGAGGGTCTACGTGCAGCCCATAGTTTGGGACCGTGTGGACCGTATGTACTTACATCAGTGGTGCTTTAACAAACACTTGGTATGAGGAGATGCTCCACCATCTTTGGATCCATCACTACCTGAGCTGTAATTGAAGTAACTGCTGCTGGACTTTGGAAGAGCTTTGCTGGTGCATGCTTTCCACCAAAGAAGCCCAAAGACATGAGGAAGTCCTGCTTTCCTCTGCTGTGTTCACTATGAGCAGTGATGAGCAGCCCAGTCTGCAGGCAGCTGCTGTGTTGTTCTGGTCGATGTGAGGGGCAGCACACCGGCACAGTACGACTGGAGCATGAACAGAGCTGCTTATTGGACTGTGCACACAGACGTGGAGAGCATGAAATGGATGATATGGTATCACTGTGGCCAACATGGGCTGGAGTTCCTGAAGCCTGAAAGCGGAGCCAAGATGAGGAGCAGGAGTCTAGTTTTCTGTCAGACCACTTAAATTACAGCATCAAGAAAATAAAAACAGCGCCTCCCTCAGCTTTAATGCTCAGATCCATCCTGTTCTTAGATCACAGCCAGTGACCTCTCAGTGTTTCATTAGAAACTGGGTGGAGGCTGGATATAGCTACGGGGCTGCCTCTATCTAAAGGTTTCTGCATTGAAATAACTGAAATGTCAGAGACTGACCTCATGTCTACCTCATGACTTCCCGACACTGAACTACATCCCATCTGTTAGTCCAGAAGATCAAAGTCTTCACAAACATCCTTCTAACAAACTCTGTACTGAATCCCTAAAACAGCTGGTCCCTGTAGTTTTTCCACAGATGCTACGTAAAGAGGAGGACATGGTGCTACTTTCAGGTTAGTCCACACTTGGTGCTGGGTTTTGGTAAAACATGCGTCTTGTTCTGTGTTTAGGTTGTTTTTCTCCCTCCTCCATCCTCCTGTGGACCTCATTCCCTTCCAGCGGCTGAGGGCGGCTCGGCTCTGAACCTGGCTGATGAGAAACGCCTCCATCTCCTCTGACCTGATCCAGCGCTCGATAAAACCCTGCCTCCTCCTGCTCCAGCCTGTTGTGTGACTTCTGTACAGTCACTGTGACTCTCTGGCCATCAGCTCCTCTGATGTGTTGTGTTTCCATTATTCCTCCTGAGCTCCAGCCTTCACTCACACACTGAGCCTGTCATGCCACCACCTGCTGAACATCTCCAGCTGCCACTGCTGCGCTTCCAGGACTGTTCATGTTCATGAATTCACCTTTTACAACATATTCAGTGTTCTGGGTCCTAAAACAAGCTAAACCTCACCATACAAAGACGACAGAATACTTCCAGCCTCCTCCGTTGATGTTCAGTGTGATGTAGGCAGATGGACTCTGTTGGTACCACGATGAAGGAACACATTTTTTATAAAGTTATACGAGGTGTGTCAGAAAAGTTCCAGGACTGGTGTCACAAAAGATGTATTTCAAACCCAAGGAAGGATTCCTCCAGGAGTGCTAAACGGGTCTAAGCGGGTCTCCTTGATGAGCCCTTGAGCTTGGGGAAGAGGAACCAACCCCACGGAGCCAGGTGGGGTGAGTAGGGAGGAGATGTTCTTCTCAGCAGGAACTGTGGGATGCTCAGGGCGCTGTGAGCAGGTTGTCATGGTGACGCAGCCTCCACTGGTCCTGCCTCAGCTCTGCCTCTTCTGGACGAAGCAAACGCTGCAGGACCTCTGTAGACGAGCTGGTTGATGGTCTGAAGGGGAAACTCCTGGTTGGTAGTTTGGGTTTGTGACACCAGTCCTGGAGCTTTTCTGACCCACCTCGTATTTATAGGTTTGCTTTAATTATTGTTAATGTGACTTTCCTACCAAGAAAACCACGATGGAACGCCATCATACTCCAAATGCGTTTTAGAATCTGAGTTAATCTTTTTTCCCGTCAGAAACAGACACAGCCCTGATCTCTGTCCACACACACTCAGGATGGTAACAAGTGATGCTAGCACACTGCAGCAAGATACCACAACACTGAACCAACCTTCTGTTTGCATGTGTGTGTGTGTGTGTGTGTGTTACCTGCAGCGGTGTGGGCTGATGGTCCACCGGGGCGATGAGGACCACCAGCTCATGGTCGATACTCAGGTAGCCAAAGACGTCGCACTGTGGCACTGAGACGTACAGCCGCAGGATCTGAAGGACGTCGTGGACCGTCACCGGCTTGTTCTTATTTAGCTGCACACAGGGACCAGAGGACACACAGGGTCACATGAACGCTGGTGTCCAAGTCTTGAGCAAAACTTTAGCGACACTTCAAAAGGACAAAGAAGACATCGTGTATGTCAAGTGCATTTTCATAAAAGAAAAACATGTGCAGACTTTGTAAATGTAGACCAGGAGGCGACACAGTAGTCACAAGTCAAGATCAAACCTCTGAGAACGTGACAGTGCTTTGTTCCTGTGGTACTGAAGGTACTGTGGTGTCTCAGGTGTGGACCAGTGAGTACAGGCTGATATATTTAGTACTTGAGCGATGATCAGGGACCAGTTATTGACTATGGAGGAAACATCTCATCTCATGCATGCTGCTTTTCTTCTTCGTCCCGTTATTGAGTCTTTAATGAAAAGAGAGGGATCATAAAATGAGCCGGACTGGAAATGACAGCACGAAGCATCCACTGAAATGTTCACCTGAAGCATTGATGTGTTGAGACCTGTGGGCTGGAATCCCAATGAGCAGTGAGCTTGACCCAAACCTCCACAGTGATCAGGTGCTAACCACCCTGGATGGAGACATCACAGCTCAGAGCTTCCCACAGGTAGCTTAGGTTTTTAATGGGCCTATCATTCTATGCAGATACAAGAAATGTGACTCTGGCATGTCTGACTGAACGTGCACGTGATGCAGCAACACTCAGGACAGACACACAGGCCCAGACAGTGCCTGACACACAGGTAAGGCAGCAGGTGTTCTCAGAATCTATGCAGGTATTGAGAGATGTCAGTGTTTGTATAGTTCTGACTACCTATTAGCCCTCCTTTGATATCAGTTACAGGGAAAGCACAAACGGGCCGGCCCGGTTTAGTGACCACAGGAACAACCAGGCACCGCTGGGCACCGTGTTGAGGAGAGGACACCACAGACTTGGACATATTGTTGGTATTATACCACTTTACCAGCATATTCCACGCAGACACACGACTGGACGCTGTACCAGGCTGTACCTAACCCTAACCCATAGCGTGGTCGATCCTCACGGACTTGGGAAGTGAAAAAATGTCCTTCACATGGACCCTCGTGTGAAAGCAGAGAATACACTTTATGTGAGGGTCTGTGCGTACAAGTCCTCGTAAACAAGGCTCTGCTGGGGGCCAGAGTCATAATCCTCCCAAATCAGCGAGTCCTCCCTGGACGTCCACGTGTAGCTCAAAGCCTGAGTGTCCTCACAGCGACCACACTGCAGGCAGCAGTGCACATGCTCAACACTAGTGTGCACGCACACAACATGGAGACACGACTTACTGCACATGCCCAGATGTGCGCCTGCACCGGAGTATGATCACGGCTTAAGAGGAACACAGAATGAGCAGGTGGAGCTTCAGCAACAGCAGAGCTACCACCGAGATCAGGGCCTCAGAGCTTCTTCTGGGAATACAAGCAGTGAAAGAAGCTGGAGGGAGACGACACTCTGCAAAGCTAAATGGTTCTAAGAGCTCAATAAACAGCTCAAGAACTGTGTTCCTCAGAGTGCTCCGTTAGAACATCATCGTCTCTGTGGTGACTTCTGTGTGTTTTCACGAGAAGGAACCATCTGTCTGTTGGACCATATAAACACTGATGACTGCAGTCTTTAAGAACAACACTGTCCAAAGCTGGAACATTTCACGTTTTGGTTTTCACTAGATGGAGATGTTTCCCAACTTCATGTTTTGGGGCATTTGTGCCTTTAATAGATAGTGTTCATAGAAATGCAGATGGAAGAAGCTGTTATGTGCCTTAAACAAGACTGCCGTGTTGTCAGCTTCTTGCTGGGGTAATGGGACCATCTTTAGTATTTGTTATCACACTGTGTGTTGGATTTATATGTGCTGCTTAAAAACAAAGCAGCTGACCACATTCCAGCTACAACACAATCATATCTGAGTGGGGCAGCGCCACATACATTATTCAGAGCAGACGGCAGGTTGGGTGGAAGCATCAGCAAACTGAGGCAAAGAAATGCAGCCACAACCTGAAGAGGATCAACACACAGATATCTGTCTACTCCATGGATTCCTCCACCGCCTGCATCACCCACAACACAGCTCTAGTGAGGGTAGTTACACATCTGCAGCACAACTAGGTTTCAGTTTTTCTATCCTCAGACCCAACTTCCTACCCTAACCCCTAACCCCTAACCCCTAACCCTAACGCTAACCCTAACCCCTAACCCTAACCAACAACTGAATTTCCCTTCTGGGATAAATAAAGTATTTTTCATGTCATTTCTTCAGCTCGTATAGAAGAGACGGACGTAGACTCTGGGGGACGGGGGAAGCCCACAACCAAACCTCCATCAGACTCACTGCTCGTTATGTTTGAAAAGGTCAAGGTGGCAACAGCCAAATCCAAAACTTGAGACTTCAGAACAGCCGTCCAATCAATGGAGCCAACCAAGCCCGACTCAAGTGACGCCACTGGAGGATGCTGGAAGGCTTTCTTCTCCTTTAACGTACCCAGAAACAGTCTGTGATGTGGAGAACTGGTGGAGTTTCCCTTTAAGAGCAAAGTAGCATTCTCTGTCTGAAGGAGAGTAAATGAATGAAGGGGAGTCGTGAACGCAGCCTGTTTCCCACCTCGCTGAGCAGAGCGGCGGTAGTGCTCCACTGCAGCAGCACAGTCAGGCTCTCATGTATCCCAACAGCTGCAGATCAAATCAGCCCTGCTTGTGTTTGGTATTAAAAGGCTTAATGCTGAGTCTTACTATGAAGTGCTTGTGCCGGGGATTACAGCCAAGTTGACTAACAGCCAAAGGGAGCTTTGTTGTATAATTAAGCTGATCAGAACGAAATGCCGTGGGACTTATTAGCTGCTAACATGTCAGTGTTTATGCCTCGGCGGGCGTCAAGCGCTGCTGCTGCTCAGGTTGGGCACACATCCAGAGGACGCTGCAGGTAAAGGTGGAAGTAAGTACACACTTCCTAATTGGTGCGTTCTGAACATTAGCTCAGTGATGTTTCTTTTAGGAAACACCTTTGGAACCAGAGCACAGCATGCTGGGATACAGGCGGTGTCTGGCCAACAACACAACGACACGCACACTGAGGAAGAAAAGGCCAGAGAACTGTGCCACGTTTAACACAACCTTCTATCCATCCATCATCTCTACACCTTCATCCTCACCAGGGTCATGGGGGGGCGGAGTCTATCCCAGCTGACTCAGGGTGAAGGCAGGTTCACCTGGACAGGTAACCAGTCTATCACAGGGCTACACTTAGAGACAGACAACCAAGCACACTCACATTCACACCTACGGACAATTTACAATCACCAATTAACCTCAGCATGTTTCTGGACTGTGGGAGGAAGCCGGAGAACCCGGAGAGAACCCACGCTGCACGGGGAGAACATGGAGACTCCACGCAGGAAGATCCCGGGTGTCCTCACCGGGACCCCAACCAGCGACCTTCTAGCTGTGAGGCGCTAACGGTGCTAACCACTGATCCACCTGCAGCCCTGACACAACCTCATGTTTTGTTCATACTGTACACATGTAGTCCTTTTTTCTAAAAGTGAAAACATGTTTGGGTGGAAGCATAAAAAACTAAACCAAAGCCTTCACATCCTTTCAAACGAACAAAAGCACATCCAGCTAAAAGTCACTCCTGTTGCTAATAATACCACTGGTGGAAGCACCAATACAACAACGTACCTACAGTTTATTACAAATAAAAGAACAAAAATGTTAAAATGTTCAGGTCACCTGTGAAGCTCACCTGTCAGGAGTACAGAGGAGCAGACGGTGCTACTACTGCTACCTCCTGGTTGATCCCGTTTCCTCATCAGGGATCATTTATAGATGTAAGTCACTGACTAAGTTACTGCTGTTGTTTTAATGTAAATGAACGGCTTCCTCTTTGGACCCTGCTGCTGTCGGACTCTGTCTGATTCACCTGAAGGGAAGCCTCTCTGACAGCTGGAGCAACAAACTAAACTGAAAGTCTCATTAACCTGACCTGTCACATCACAGCACAGTCTGATGGACATTTCAGTTTGTAGTAGTGGGAAGCTGTGGGGCAAAGAGAACTACAGAGGTGGGATGTAAATATGTCTGGTTCTGTCTGAATGTTTGTGTACTGGTGATGACATGTGGACAGAGTTCTCCTCCTCGTGTCACACAGCTGAAGGTATGTAGCAGCAGCCCTGTCCTCCATGTGAGGGCCCTCAGCAGTCTGCATGTGGGGTTGAATATAAATATCGCCCCCACGTGGCCTGCACCTGTAATTACATGTAGTAGCACCAGCTGATCCAGCTACACTGGTACAGACGAATCAGGACCACTCCATGCCTTCATAATGCTGGTTTCAGTTCTGCTTCATAGAATTATTCTGTGATTTAGTTCAAAGGTTAAAACAACATGAGTTAAAGACACACACACCTTCCGTTTTCACTTCGTCGGCACATGAATGAGTCATTACTGTGTTGTCACATAGAACAGCTCTGACTGATCCATACCTTAGAGAAGGTGTTCATCTGCTCCTTGTTCCAGAGGATCTGCAGCATGCTGGCACATATGGGACAGCAGGCTCCTGAGAACAGGCCAGAGGTCAGGGCTCATCATGATGCATGTTCACAGACTAATGCTGAGCTACCCAGCTTCACCCTGTGTAGCTGAGACCTGCTCCACTCACCGGGCGGGGTGACCGGACGGCAGCCTGGAGTGGACAGAGCTGGACAGGGGACCGAGCTGCATGCCGAGTCAGGAGCCCCATCGGACACGACGCCCACGGCGTGGCAGGGGCCCTCGTAGTCCACGGCCACGCGGTCAGAGAAGGCGTCGCACACCGTGCTGTAGGTCTCGCCGTTATGGCCGCAGACCTGCTGTGGTTTCCTGCAGGCGTCCTGAGGACAGACACACCTTCACTGTCCACCTGTCGTCCATGTGGCATTATGACTAGCGCTGACAAAACTGCTGCTTGGCTTTCAAAGGTACTGGACAAAAGGAAAAAATCTACAATATTGTTGGATTTTTCTGCACACTTATTGTTGTGTACATTTAATTCCTAACAGATAAAATCAAGTGGCACTCATAACCCTATCATGAATACATCTAGACATTTTTGCACATAAACACTCATAAAGTGAACCCTCCTTTGACATGTCTGCCTAACGCGGTGCTTCTGTCCTGATGGTGGCTCGACTGGACTGGTCTTACAGGTCAAAGCCAGTAAACAGGAGATGGGATGTACTGCACTCTCTGGTTAACATGGTTTTTAATTGATTTAAATGCTCTCATTTCAGTAAGCGATTTATTTTTAGTTTAAAGTAGAGAACATACGTAACGGCAGCAGCACCATGTGGAGCAGAGATCCCTGCTGCAGCAGCTTCATGTTTGTTTCTTCTGTGCAGCAGTGCAGCCGACTGCTAGCTGAAGATCTGCACACAGACTCGTGTATATTTAGCAAATCAGCGTTCTCCAGTCTCATATAAAACTATTTTATCACCCTGAGTAGAAGCAATCCGCCGTAGTGCCTCGGTGCCTGATATCACTGACAGTGACTAATGCAGGGACCAAAGACTCACGACCTCAGCCGGCTCCTAATTCAATAAAATCTCTCCTCCACATGACTTTGAGAGGAAAATTTTGTTGAAGAGACCACAAGTAATACATCAGGTCAGAGTATAAAGTAAAACATGCACTGCAAGGCTTCCAGCTCTGAAGCAGCTGGATGCCAACGCCTCGTTCTGCTCTCTGTTTTAAAGGCAGGGACAGATACAGCATTGACTGTTAATGTCATGAATCATTTATGTGAGATAATTATGAGTTCCTATCAGAACGTGTCCTCGCTGCAGCAGATCATCAAGGACGGCACATTATTATAGAGTCCACAGTTTGACTTCTGCTGCTTTGTATTCTCTACACATATAGATTTGAACATCTAACTGGCATAAATAACTGTAACTCTTTTGTATGAATATTTTTATATTCAAGTAAAAACCTTATTTCCTATATTCACCAAAATCCAAACCTGACGTCTGGCAGGTTCATTCAGATCTGTCCCTGATCCATATTTTTTCATGTCGTAACATTTTCAACAGGCAAACGGTTAAAACCACTGTGTTTTATATATATATATATATATATATACTAAATAGATACTAAACAGTTGATGTCCTTCTAAGTACAGATCATGGCAGAATTTAAAACCTAATCCAGACATAACGGAGCGGCCTTGCTTCCTTCTTCACTCACATATGAACGTCTGCATATTCAGGTATCTGTGGTTCACCAGATCCCTGCTTTGGCCAGACTACAAGTCAAACTGACAGAATGGCCCTAATCATCTGCTGCACTCTGCAAAACAGGAATAAACTCGCTGAACTGATTGATCGTGTGGCTTCTCTGCCCTCTGCCTCACACTGTGCTGACTGCGAAGGTACCAGCTAACTGAGAGCGTTATTAAATCCTGATGGAGGGCTGCACTCTGCTGAGGGCTTTTAGCTTCACCAGCAGTGGAGGCTGCACATGGTTTAGCTCCCAGCTTCGTGCCACACAGACACATCAAAAAACTGAACAACTGCAAGGTCAGAGCTGTGCACAACAGTTGGTGTTCGTCCAGGTAAACACAGCTGAACCCTGCTGCTCCTGGTCTGGCTGGAACCTACCTGGCAGTGGCCCATGTAGGCCAGGGTTTTCCCAGCCTGCTGCAGCTGGCACAGGTTGGGGTGGACCAGGCCGTCGGTATCACAGGCGGGCTCCACGCTGTTCTTATCGCAGGCTGCCGGCCGGCCAACACACTCGTACTGCAGACAGTCTGACGAGTCGCTCAGACATGCGCGGTACTTTGGGATGCACCTGGCAACACACAACACATTACTTATTTATTTATATTTTTGGCCTTTTGGCTTTATTAGATAGGACAGAGAGAGCTGGGGGAGAAGAATGGGGGACGGACATGAGCGGGACTCAAACCCATGACCGCTGCACCGGGGACTGTAGCCTCTGCACATGGGACGCCAGCTCAACCAGGTGAGCTACAGCGGCGCCCCACAACAGGTTGTTTCTACAGCGATGCTACAGCTGAGGCCAGAGGAGCAGCTTCACACTCACACAGCGTCTATAAAAGCTCATATTCACATGAACACCACCTCACACATTCACAGTCAAACAGGAACAGCACTCAGGAGGACATTTTGGTAAAACGCTCCAATAAAAGAGCAAATCAACAGACGCAAACTACTTCCCTCCAAACACACACAAGCCCTGCTCTGTTACCATAGCAACCACCGAGTCTCCAAGGCTCGGCACCAATCAGGTGCTCTGCACATCCGAGTTGACTTGCTCACTTACTGCACTGTTTGCCCCCAGACGAACAGAAAATGGTTTTCAGCCGTGTGTGTACATACACCTCCACTCATTAGAGCGTGTGTGTGCTCGTTCCAGGATAAATGCTTTCCAGTTCACATCACTCAGTGGAAAACATGAATAAATGTCTTACTGGAAAAAAATGTGAGCATGTTAGAAAACAAGCTTTTATCCGTACATGTGCACACTAGAGTGGCTCCAACACATGAAACACAGCGACATACATGTGCACACACAGCTTCCACAGCACTGAACTGACTTATGGGTGAATCACAAACACTTCTGCTCTCAAGTTCTGCTGATGTCAGTGAAACCAGTCATTTCCTACAGATGCTTCACATGAACCCGGCTTTGCTTTTAAGATCCTCATCATGATCAGGACTACACGTTAGATCTTGTTGTATTTTTAAAACAATCGAAGCTATCCAGATCTTCCATCATTTGGTGTGATAATACTCACAGATTTTCTATATCAGCACACAGAACCGACCAGAACCATCAGAATCTAACTGATGATACGATAGGTGCTTGGTAATTTGTAAAACTGAGAAGCAGGAGTGTGAAACACAAGCGTAGATACGACTTCAAAATGTTATTACTTCATCATGAACAAATGTGTGATGAGCATAATTAGCTCTGGTTCTGCTCTTTGTTGTGACATATTCATATATCTATGCAATGAGAGCTTTAAATGAGTGTAACAGGTGAGGAGATGGACGCGCAGCTGCATGCAGGCGGTGATGAAATGTGATGGAAAGTCAAGACTTATTTCCTCAGTGACACTTTGCTGCACAGACCAGCACCTGCTAGAGCGACGTCAGAGGGATCACGCTGTGATATTTCATATGTGCTGCAGTAAACACTGAGAGAGCAACTTGACCAAGGCTGTGTAGCGATGCTGTGATGAGGCAGATGTTTGTTAGCACCTTGTGCGCATGCAGCAGAAGTGTGGCGATGCTCTTTGTGGTGAGCTGAATTCATCCAGACAACAGGTCAGAATGTGACTGGTTTCTATCATCCATCCATCATTGTTTCCTCATTAAATGAACTTATTTCTATTTCACATTGATCTTTTATCACAATTTGTGCATAGGACACAAATTGTGATAAAATCTGAACCTGCCATTGATGTGTGAATATCTTTTATAATATGCTTTGTCCAGAACCACAAACAGATTCATTTAGTCAGATTTGTATTCCTGTCAGACGGTCAGAGCCTCCACAGCAGCATTCAGCAGGTCAGAGCTCATGGTGGACTGTGGGAGATGATTATCTGGGAGTGAACCGGGATCATAAACCCTGCTTAACACACCCTGGCTATTAATCAAGGAAGGCAGAGGGAGAAAGAAAGAGAAGAAGACGGGAGGGAGAGTCCTCGTAATGAGCTGTGGTTGGTGTTAATGAGTCGGTGCTGGGTGTGGGCAGCAGCTGCTCTCACTGTGTTCTGAACCCACCTCTGGTTCCTCTGGCAGGGCTTGTTGGCGCATGGGTTACTCAGGCGGCACTGGCCAAAGACAAACTGGTGGTCCTTGAATCCCATGCAGCGAGCCACACAGGCGCTGGGATAGGTCCGCCCGTTGGAGGCACACACCGGCACGAAGCGGTCCGGACAGCTGCAGGGAAGACCTGAGGGGGTAGAGGAGGACCAGGAGGGAGACAGCAACAGTTTGTCATGAAGGACGGAAGCATCCACTCCATCAGCAGACTGGATGACGCTGGAAGACTGAAAGCTTAATGTGCAGTGTAGCAGCTGTAACACAACCTTAAGATTTACTGGAAAAGTACCGACTGGGCCCGTGTTAGTTCTGGTTCTCTGTAAGTGCTTGGAGTTAAAGCTACAGGGCTGAACTTTGATCTTCCCCTTCTAGCAGAGGTTCTGTCTGCTCATGACGTACGTCTCACCATCGATGGTTTTCATTTTTACACTCTAAAGCGCATCCACGCTTCATCGGTGTACGATGAGCAGGGTCATGATGATGCTCTTCAGCACAGGCTCCGCCCTCCTGCAGCCACACACTGTTGCTGCTCCTGATTGGATGATCATTCGTGGGCTGTCTGCTCCTGGATTCCAAACCGGACCAACATGCCGTCCAGTTTGGAAACTTTCCCTCATATTACTGAAACATTAACCCAGTTTCTGAAAACAGCTGGAGTGAGGAATAAGCCATGCAGTTGTTCAATCTGTCTTCACTTTAGGTCAGCAAGTTTTCAGAGATGTTGAGTGGGGGCTGGATGAAACCTGAGCCTTACGCAGATGACAAGCAGCAACACCCTGTGACTACAAACACAGCAGTGCTCCCATGATGCACTGCACGGCCTTTTACAGACAATGAATAAAGAGCACTGAAGTGACAGACCCAGTGGACCACAGGGCCTCGACCCCCGTATGGAGTAAAACCACCATGAATGCATAGTGGCTGCACAGACTGTGAACTTGGCGGATGACCAAGTTATCCTGCAGACCCTCACAGATGCAGAGAGGCCAGTGTTGTACGTACTCCTCAGCTCATGCAACCAGCTCAGAATCTGTGTCCATGTGGTCACGACTCTACAGGGGCCGTCGTGCACAGACTATGTAGAGGCTGACCTTCCTGTGTGTACCCAATGGAGTCCTCCAAGTGGACTAGAAGGCAGTACAGTAACATCTGCAGTGTCCACAGCTGTCAGCATGGAGGTACAATCAAAGCCTCACGCTGGTCACACACTCGTCTTCTCTGTCTCCGTTGCTATGGCTGCTCTACTCTTCCGCTCTGGCAAACCACTCATTGGTGGATGGAACACATCACGACCAGAACACGGCAGATTTAAAACTCTGTATACTGTGAAATGGTGTGAGGCTCACCTGGCCCTGAAAGACTCAATTAGCATTGTATGAACTCGTCTGGCTTGAATGTTTGTTTGTTGTGAGCTGACTCACAGAAAGAACAGCTCCTGAATAAGTATAGGCGCCTTCCCAAAGACTGGATGAAGGATGCTGGCAGGGCAGATACCTTCAGTCACTGCTGATTAAGGCCACAGATTGCTGCATGGTTTTGTTTGCAGTTCTTTCCTTTCTGAAGCCTCTGATCTAACGACAGCCTTGAATCTCCCACAAAGCGTACATTGGACAAGTTACTGAACTGTATGTAAGATCAGGCAGGGATGAGGACAGACGTCCATGTTTAATGTGTACGACCCATGACATACGTCTACAAGCAACCTTATGGCATCTTTTAGCTCTTGACCAACCCTGTGTGAAACAGCCAAACGTTGTTCAACCATAATGACAATAGACGGACCAGTAAAGTGTCGATGGTCGTCGTCTGAGTTGCTGAAGCCGAGGCACTCTCTGGTGGAGCAGATGGTGTCACCGGCGAAGCAGGAGCAGGTGTGGCAGTCGATCCTGAAAGACGTCCCGTGGCCTGATGACAACACACAGCAGGACAACACGAGAGGACGTGAGCAAAATGTTAAACTGGCTGTACGAGATATCACAGTTTATCTGACCAAAAGGCCACTTTTAACAAAGGCAGGTGACAAAAATAGGCTTTAATGGATGTAGGACAGAGAACAGGGTCAGTACGGAGGGCTGGTTTTGATGAACACCTTTTGTCTGTAGACAGGGATGTGCTGATGCAGGAACACCGTCGCAGAACACTGTTAATCTGACTGTTGGTGTGTTCAACGGGGTTTATTCAGATATACTGTACCGGTGGAGAAATCATTCATAAACTGTCCCAGTGCAGAAAGCTCGGGATGAGACCGCTCACTGGGGTCATTTCTCTTGCTATATATATATATATAAAGCCAAACAGCTCCTTTTTCCAGTCAAAGCTGCTCCTTCTGAGTGAAGCTAGGGATGCTGTTTTTAATGAACACCTCCCAGGCTGTCATGGTTGGTGAGCACGCTGCCCCTAGAGGTCAACATGTTGTCATCGACCTGCTAAAGTGGCTGGATTCATTCATGTGTTGAAAGTGATGCAAACACGTTCGTAGGGGTGCCGTATGAGGATTAAAGGAAAGGGACTCACTGTGTTTTCTCTGCTAAAATGTGTCGTAGTTGTTTTCCAAGCTAGCAAGGCTGTTACCAGCACTTAGTCCACGGCTGAGCTAGGGTATCTTCATGGCCTAATCAGGCTGAGTGTGGTGTCATCAACATTCTGACCAAAGAACACCCCTCAACACCTAATGCTTGGATCTCTTGTGGTTTTTTTTCTTCTCAGAACATCTTAAGGCTTGTATTTAACTTCTAACTGCATGTTTCTTGTCAGTGTATGTACAGTCATGTTCAGCATCATTTCAGAGGCAACACAGCTGATGGTTGTTCATTGGAGACGACGGAGCTGGATGTCATGTGATATATCTGGTGTTCTACTCGTATTTGCCTTGTTGGCTGTTACTGGTGTCAGGAATGATTATTAATTTACTCATTCCTACCAAGGAAGTGATTTATTACTCCCATCACTGCTGTGCTTGCTGTGCTTCTTTTCTATTGCATTAAAAATTCATCAATCTGAAATTGGGGATAAGCCCTGGGAACATTAGCATCCACAGAACGTCGTCCTTCCACCATTTCTCAGGTTCCGCCACAGAAAGAAAACTTTTCAAAAACTTTTATTTCTCGTTTAGATGACTTCATAATGAAAAGGTTAGATTTGCTGGCACTAACTGAAACCAGACGATAAGTAATGAAGAGAAAAACAAATTCATTAGGCTAATGGACTTTAAATAAGGCCTGTGTCTCTTAGTCGCTCACACCAAACAACAGTGCACTTATTGCTAACATGGTCAGTAATGAAGGGGTTCTAATATTTAATGACCACATTGTGTTTCTATACATGCTGTTTGTCAGCTTGTGATGCACAATAAACCAGAACTTTAAGGCAGCCAACGTCCTGTTTGGCCTCAATATAATCACATAATTCTACAGCTTAGTTTCAGTTTGCTTTGTTCCAGACTAACCGTACAGAACTTCACGGGGATGTTGCAGCTCTTTTTGTGCATTGATTAACCTTCTGAGCTCCAAGCAGTTTCTGGGTGTTCTGGTGTTACCACTACCATCCATCCATCCATCATCTCTACACCTTCATCCTCACCAGGGTCATGGGGGCGGAGCCTATCCCAGCTGACTCAGGGTGAAGGCAGGTTCACCTGGACAGGTAACCAGTCTATCACAGGGCTACACTTAGAGACAGACAACCAAGCACACTCACATTCACACCTACGGACAATTTACAATCACCAATTAACCTCAGCATGTTTCTGGACTGTGGGAGGAAGCCGGAGAACCCGGAGAGAACCCACGCTGCACGGGGAGAACATGGAGACTCCACGCAGGAAGATCCCGGGTGTCCTCACCGGGATGCCAACCGGCGACCTTCTAGCTGTGAGGCAACGATGCAAACCACCTTGCAGCTCTTACCACTACTAGAAAAGGTAAATTTCTAAACTTTAAACAGACGAACTGCATCTTCCCTGCATCCAGTCTTCACACAAAGTGAAGCCAAACACTTCAGCATATTCACACCAATCTACAGTCAGTAAAGCACGGCTACAACTCTGTGTGTATGTTAGTCCTCATCAAAGATGATCAATATTTAAGCTGCTTTTGTTTCCCAACAAGAGGACTAGTTAAGGGTAACCTATGCTGTGCTCTAATAAGTTCTGCTTCACTGATATTACACAGATTATTAGGCTGTGACAGCCTCACAGAGCACAGTGCTGCAGCTATTACTGGTTGCTGACACTGTTGGGCAACACCAACCTCCTCAGGAACATTTTGAAATCCAGCATTAAAACAGCTCCGCTCCACACTGATCTCATGTGTAAATGAATCGCTATGTCTGGGAATTGTTTGGGCAGAGAAAGCAGATGATTGATAAGAGTTGTGGGTTTTAAATTACACAGAACTTCTTCTTTGAGGCTGGATCAGAAGCTTTAAATTCTTCCTTCTCTTTAGTTTGGAATGGAGAGTTTCTGGGTGGATGAGTCATCCAGAGTATAGAGAGTTGCATTCGACAGACTCATTAAAGTTGGATTGATTCATAAAAAGAGTTGACTGAAGGGAATAAGTCAGCCACGTTCTAAACCTACAGGCAGATTACACCATGCAGTTTGCAGCATAAACAAATTCAGTTTTGTATTCTGTGTCCATTTCTGGTCATTGGAACAAACAATATCATAAATGCCAAACTACAGTAACTGCGTTTTGAATCTAAAGCATTTGTGTTTCCACAGCAGCTGAGACTGAAAGCTGAGATGACTACGACTGCTGACCATGACATAAACCTACACAACTGTTATTTACTGAGGAAAGACTTTGGTGTTGATGAACAATGAGCCTATCATCAAAAGTTAAAGGAATTAAGAGCATACACGATGGGGCAGGTTTGTGCAAAGATCACACATTTATAAAAACTAGGGATGGACATCTTGGTAGAAGACAGGATGTAGCTGGGCGGTGTCACGTGTTCTGGAGAACCAACCATCTACCACAAGCTCCTCTTTCACAGAACAGCGTCCTGCTGCTCTCATTAAGATGCTGTAGATGGATCGGGGTTGTCCAGATTTAATTCTCCTCTCCACAGCAACTGATGAGCCTAATCACTGACTTCATGAGGGTCGTGCAGAGACATGAGCGCTCCAGCGGTGGCCTAACCTTTTCATCATCCACTACCAGGAGAGGAGTTCCTGGATGGAGGACAACTTGAACACTTTGATGCCACCACTCGGCGCTGCAGCATTACGATCCTGTTATAAACAACATATTACCTGTAAATGTGACACTGCTGCTTCATCAGTCTGACGGCATTCTGTCTTCCTGACATAGATGTAATTAATGAATGTAATACAGAGACCTCATGGCAGCTGTGATGGAGCTCGGGACTCCACCATGTCACAGATACTTTAACTGCAGCTGAGAAACGACAGCTCACCTGTCTGCAGTGAAGGGAAGTGTTGGATCCTGATCTATGTCAGGGGATCGCTTGCTTTCACATGTTCGTATGGATCCTGCTTTCTGTTCCAATGAACTGAAACAGCTGGCAGCACCAACCTGCTCCTG